GCAGCAGAGGACTCAAAGGTAGGGTCAGTGACAACAGTGGCGAGGAGACGCGTGACAGTAGGACTGGCAGCACGAAGGGAGTCAGACTCCGGGTCAGCAAGAGCAGGAAGAGAGGAAGCAGGAGGAGACGGCAGAAGGACACGCTGGGGAGCAGTGGAAGGACGAAGCGCCATCTCGTGAGTGCCTGGGACAGCAGGTGGACGCTGACGCGGGACACGACGACCAGTGCGAGCAGCACGAACAGGCGACGCTGACCGAGACTCTGGCGACACAGGACGAGACTCCGGCTCACGACGCTCAGTGAGACCGCCTGTCGGACCAGTGTAAGGAGAAGGACCAGGGAGTGGCGAGGCAGGCGGTAGCTGTGACTGCGACTGGACAGGCGGAGGACACTCTAAGGAGGGAGCAGGACTAGGGGGAGGCGGCTGACCAAGAACCTGCTGAAGGAGCTGAACAAAGTACGGCCGCGGCCGCACAGCGCCTCCAGAACCAGTAGAGGCACCTCCAGTACCCTCAGCTCCAGGGTCTCCAGCTACACCGGCAGCACCAGCTCCCGGGTCCTCCGCACCAGCAGCAGCTCCAACTCCAGGGTCCTCAGCTCCAGCAGCAGCTCCAACTCCAGGGTCGGCAGCGCCAGCAGCAGCTCCAACGCCAGGGTCCGCAGCACCAGCAGCAGCTCCAACGCCCGGGTCCGCAGCACCAGCAGCAGCTCCAACGCCCGGGTCCGCAGCACCAGCAGCAGCTCCAACGCCCGGGTCCGCAGCACCAGTAGCAGCTCCAACGCCCGGGTCCTCAGCACCAGCACCACCTCCAGAAGTAGCAGTACCTCCAGCAGCTCCAGCAGCACCAGTCGCACCTCCAGCAGCGGCAGCAGCACCAGCACCAGCAGCACCGCCAGCAGCAGCAGCACCTCCAGCACCAGGGTCCGCGACTCTAGGAGCGCCACTCCGGAGACTGCAGCGCCGCGCGTACCACTCTCGGAGCCGCTGAGGAGAGGGCAGCTCCCGCCTAGGAGGGGAAGCACTAGCACCAGCTCCAGCAGCACTCCTAGCTCCAGAAGTACCTCTCCTGAGGCTGCAGTACTGTAAGTACCACTCACGCAGCTGCTGTGAGGAGAGAGCTCCTCCAGGTGTAGCACTCCCAGGCTCAGTACCTCCAGACACAGCACCCCCAGACTCAGCACCCCCAGACTCAGCACCCGCAGGCTCCGCACCCCCAGGCTCAGCACCCCCAGACTCCGCAACCCCAGGCTCCGCACCCCCAGGCTCCGCACCCCCAGGCTCCGCACCCCCAGGCTCCGCACGCTCAGGCTCAGCACCCCTAGCAGGACGAGAGTCGACAGCTACCTCGACAGGCTCAACCGGGTCTACCTGGGACACACCTGAGGGAGCGGCACCCTGAGGGGGGAGGGGGTCTACCACAGCAGCACCTGGCGCGAGGAAGAGAGGCGGGGGGGGGAGCGGGGCAGTGCGGTAGGGGAAGAGGCGGTAGTAGGGCACGGACTCGTCAAAAGTGACGTCCTGAGAGGGCAGGACCCGGCGCGAGGTGGCGTGGTAAAACTGCCAACCAGACGCGTCCGGGACAAAGCCAAGGAAGACACAAGGAACAGCGCGGGAGGAGAGCTTGTCCGCGGACGTATCGCGAACAAAAGCTCGAGATCCCCAGACCCGAAAACGAGACGCATCGCCAACCTCTCCCGTCCAACGCAGTGTCGGGGAAGTCTCCGGCAAGGAGACACGGGGCCAGAGGTTGAGCTGATGCGCAGCGTATCGGACCGCAAACGGCCACAGAAAGTGGGGGGCAGCCGCATGGATCAAGGAGGTACGAGCGACCTCCATGACCAAGCCAATGCGGCGCTCAGCAACCCCATTCTGCTGTGGAGAGGCCGGAAGTGTGAATGACTGCTCAATGCCGTGCTCCGCACAGTAGGCTGCCAAGAGGTCGGAGGAGAACTCACCACCTCTGTCAGAGTGCAAGCGCAGGACAGGAAAGTCCGAGTGGAAACGCTCGCTGAGCTGGAGACGAGAAGCGCTGATCCAAGGGATCAAAACATCAGTTGTAAAGGCGGAAGATATGAAGTAGTCATTTCATCTCTCGGTCTCTTTCCTCTCTTGATCCTTCCACTTTATTATGCATCCGTTCTTTTCACTGGATCCTAATATCATTCATATAGAGTCTCCCTCCCTTTCGTTTTGATTTCATAATCAGGCTCATTTGTTCCTCTTTATTCCCTTTTTCATATGAAGTTTTTATGTGACCCGCATGGTTATCAGATTCGTCCTTTCATTATGGGGTGTGTTTCCTACCAAACTTGCTATAAGTTTTTCAGGGTTTAGGGTTTTCTTCTCTTCCTTACTACCCGGAGAAATTTGTGTAAAAGGTTGGGGAAGAAAAAAGGGGGAGGCCTAGGGGGAGAGCCAAAACTACGGGCGCCATGGTCAAGTGGCTGGCAGATAGAAGTCACAAGGGTGGGAGAAGGGGGGGAGGGTGGGGCCCATCCTGCATAAGCTTTACATGCACCCCCAAACCTGCACCTTTTTGGAAGGGCATTGCCAACCGCATGCTATATACGTGAACAGCAACCAGCTGACGAAGATCAAGACGTCGGGTGTCTAATGTAGCTATGGAAACAAGAGATGTGCGTGAGACCGAAACATGATATTTGGGGCCGCTGCTGTCCCCAACAGCCATGACACTGCTGCTTCTAGTGGTGTCGCTGGTGGTGCTGCAGCAGCAGTGGCTCCTCTACTGGAGCTGGATCTTCTATCAAGTGGGCCTTCGCGTCCTCCTGCTAGCACGACTCCTCCTCTTACTGCTACGGCTCCTCCTCGTGCAGCTTATGCGGAGCATTGGACCACTTTGCATAAATAACAATCACGCTACCCGCCCGCTCAGATGCTACCAATGCAACAGCAGGAGCAGCACCACCACCACCAATGGCAGGATCCAGCATGTTAAATACAACAATTCCTGCTTCAGGCGAGCTGTTATCTGCATGAGATATAGAAGGAAGTAGCAGCGGGTTCGACTCTGTAAACAACCCCAAAATGGTTAGCAGGTATAAGTGTTTATGCCCCAGGGGGTGTACACCATGCAGAGTGCACCGGAAGTAGCAGCAGTAGGTACGAGTAGTAGGAACCGGTGCAGTGGTGGCAGATTCAGCTGTAGCAGGTGCGGCGGTGGCACCTGGACTTCACTCCCGCCACCCCCTCACCCCTCCCCCCACAGCAGCAGATGTGGCAGTAGGAGAGAGGCTGGGGGGGAAGGCGGCTGCTGCTGAAACACGTGGAGGTGGCTACTGGTGAAACACATCCGCCACCCTTTCACCCTCCCCACCACAGCAGCAGGCGCAGCCGTGAGAGAGAGGAGGCGGGCTGGCGCTGTAGGTGCAACCACCTCCCCCCGCCACTTCCGTGCCCCTCCCAACACCCTCCTCCCAAACTGGTGCACGCGAAGCAGGAGAGGGAGGAGGAAGCGGGCGAGGTCGAGCAGCGGAGACGACGGGAAGCAGGGCAGCGGAGACGACGGGAAGCAGGGCAGCGGGGCGCCCGCGACGACGGGCAGAAACCGACGTGCGCTCGAGGCGAACGACGGGTAGAAACCGACGCGCGCCCAGAGCGCGCGACGGGCAGAAACTGACGTAAGCTCGGGACGCGCGACGGGCAGAAACAGACGCGCGCTCGGGGCGCGCGACGGACAGAAACCGACAATCGAGGACCGGATATAGGAGCAGTGATCCAAGTAGCGTGCGCCTATTATAGGTCTGTTCTTGTACGAAGGGGAAGACGGTAATTGTAAATGTGAAATCTCCAGCAATCAAGTGGTTGCTGGCTACACCTAGGGTAAATCTGTCTTTTTTTAAATCGAGAGTATCTTTGTCCTGGCTCTTGAGAGCACTGAAGAGGCCAGGCTGCCCATATGACCAAATTGAAGTTCTTGTTGAACTAATATTGCTTGTGGAGAAGATAAGTTAAAGGATCGCCTGAGCCAGTTTCAAGTGTATAAAACTATTTATGTGGGCCCCTTGCCAGCTTTATCCGGCACACCACATGGATGTCGTGTTTAATCCAGGATTAACAGCTCATGATGAACCTGTTCCGCATCACGAACTCGCTGGAAGATCTTCTCTTCCATAAGGCGGGGACCTGCACGGCTTTCCCCGAGGCAACGCTCATTGCGATAACACTACACCAAATCTGGCTGGAAAGATACGATGCGGTTTTTCGGGGGCGCAAATTCCGTGAGCGCCGAGTCCTGAGAAGACTCCTGTTGGCCTTCCTTCAGCATGCGAGGGTTTACACAAAGGCACGCTCGACAGCGTGGCAGAAGTGGAAGGATTCGGTGCAGGCTGGCAACTTTCTCAAGGGCTTATTGGAGGAACAACGGATGCTAAGCAAGATACGTTTGACAAGCGAAAAGAAGTGGACGTGGACCAGAGGATTCGAGTCCATCTGGACCAATCCCAGGACTGTCTACAACCCACCCTAGGCCCCTTGCTGAGCAGACAGCCTCTGCTCGCTCACGCACGGTTACGACCGATATTGAATAGTATGCATTTAGAAAGCTTGCTTTCTTGTGTTTGCAATGGCAACGAGCTTCGTTTCAAATGGGCATTACATCATTCTCGTCCGGGATAAATATGGTACCTACATTACACATGACAACATGCAATTTTTGCTAGGGTGGGTGGGTGGGAAATAAGACATTTGAAATTTCAAACGAAGACGTGGGTGGAGGCCAAATGGCCTCCACCCCCTGCTATATAGTTGGCGAAGAGCGTCTAGCACTTCGCCGTTGCCATTGCTGCATTACAAGCAGCTTCGCTTTCAAAATACACATTTTTAGAAAGTGTTACACACTTTCAAAAAAATTCATATTTAGAAAGCTTGCTTTCTTGTGTTTGCAATGGCAACGAGCTTCGTTTCAAATGGGTCTTCTGAGACATGAGACGGGGAGATGCTGCGGAGACGGTAAAGGTTGTTGATGGTTTATGCGACGACATGTCGGTGGAGTTCCAATCATGCGCGAAGAAGAAGGCTGGCACCGATGTTGATCGAGGTGCAGTATTCTCTGCTGTTGCATTGGAGTGTCGCCCTAAGTGAGTGTAGCACAGTAGTGGTTACTTATAAGCGTTGGCTCACACGTGAGCTTCGGACACGAACTCGCAAGCAGTATGGGAGGACACGGGCAGCGGGCGTTAGTATTCTGTGTAATGATGGATGTGATGCTTGTAGGAGCCCAACCCTTGTTGCGGTCACAACCGTGCTCACATTACGAAGCGTGCATGCAACTTGTATCCGGGTACGGTAAATCTGTCAATGTTTAAGCCCTTGGTATTCTTACTCATCTGCTATAGTTGTGCACCATTTCAAACTCACCAAAATTTTGTTCAACCAGCCAACTCAAATGTGATCGCGTCCAAACCTTGCACTTTGGGCTTTAGCCCTGGTATTTGACCAATATATAACTAAACTCACGAGCCAGAAAGGGACCCACCGGTCCTCCTCCCCCCTGGGGAGCTCGCTGGCCAGCACCGCACAGGACCCACCGGTCCTCGTCCCCCCTGGGGAGCTCGCTGGCCAGCACCGCACAGGACCCACCGGTCCTCCTCCCCCCTGGGGAGCTCGCTGGCCAGCACCGCACAGGACCCACCGGTCCTCCTCCCCCCTGGGGAGCTCGCTGGCCAGCACCGCACAGGACCCACCGGTCCTCCTCCCCCCTGGGGAGCTCGCTGGCCAGCACCGCACAGGACCCACCGGGCCTCCTCCCCCCTGGTGAGCTCGCTGGCCAGCACCGCACAGGACCCACCGGTCCTCCTCCCCCCTGGGGAGCTCGCTGGCCAGCACCGCACAGGACCCACCGGGCCTCCTCCCCCCTGGTGAGCTCGCTGGCCAGCACCGCACAGGACCCACCGGTCCTCCTCCCCCCTGGGGAGCTCGCTGGCCAGCACCGCACAGGACCCACCGGTCCTCCTCCCCCCTGGGGAGCTCGCTGGCCAGCACCGCACAGGACCCACCGGTCCTCCTCCCCCCTGGGGAGCTCGCTGGCCAGCACCGCACAGGACCCACAGGTCCGTTTCCGGCTGGCGCGAGGCCCCCGGTCCCAATCTCCCACGGGAGCGCATGGGTTGTGCCAAATGTTTTGCCGCAGTCTTTCTGCGCCGGTAGTCTCTCATGGCGACCCAAAGGTAGTTGCCTCGCACCGATTTACTGCGATAAAAAATAAGAAATAGCATGAGAGAAAAACGCAGACGAACAAGAATCGAAGATAGGAACGAAGAAGAGGTGGGAACATATGCAAAGTAATAATTTATTCGTTGGCAAATTTCAACATCAGAAGCGCATCTGCCGCCAGTTTGTCTCTGGCGCGCCACTGGAATCTCGCCTTCTGGAGATTTCGCCATCATGCCTGCTGGTACCGACTTCCGATGGACGCGCCCCTGGGTTCTTGCACGCCACTGGCGATTTCGTAGCCACATGCGGCAGTGGCGATGTTGACCATTTCGGCGCCATGAGCGCCATGTCAGAATATTATGCTCTAGCCTGTAGTGGGGTGCTCTATAGCGAGTACAACCCTTCTAGGGTTTGCTATTTGTATCCTCATTCTTGCTAGTGCAACCCTCTTCTTCTTTTTAAACTTTTACATGCTATCAGAGCAGGTCGATCCCCTTGGATCGATCCTGTGGGTGGGCTCACCACCTCGTTGCTTCCGCTGCAACTTCCACTACTACCTTCTGTGCCGCACGCCCCGTGGCGTGCGGCAGTTTTTCTTCCCGCCGTGCGCCCCGAGGCGCGCGGCGGTTTTCTGCCCGCCGTGCGCCCCGTGGCGTGCGGCGGTTCTCTGCCCGCTGTGCGCCCCGAGGCGCGCGGCGGCCTTCTACCCCGTCACTCGCCGCGTCGCCCTCGGGAGGCGCTGCGACGGGCGACGGGGACCCGCGCGTCGCCCCCCGTCGCCCGTCGTGGCTTGCGTGCGGCCCGTACAGCCGGCGCGCGGCCCGTACGGGCTGCGCCAGGCCTGCGCGCGGCCCGTACGGGCTGCGCCAGACCCGCGCGCGGCCCGTACGGGCTGCGCCAGGCCCGCGCGCGGCCCGTACGGGCTGCGCCAGGCCCGCGCGCGGCTCGGGCCGCCTGCGCGCGGTTCGGGAGGCTGTGCCAGGCCCGTGGGCGGCCCTTTCCTCGCTGCCCCTGCCCTCCCCGCTGTCCCCCGTGCTTCTGCTGGCGCCCCACCCCTCCTACAGCCCGTTCTCCTGAATTAGGGTTTGGGGGTGAGGGGTATGGGGGTGAAACTACTGTGTGCCGTTCCCTGTTCCTCCTCCTCCTCCGTCTCCCTGTGCTGCAGCTGCCGCTGAGGGGGGGTGGACTTGTTGGAGCCGTTGGAGTGGTGCTAAGGGGGGGTGAAGGGGGAGTGGAGCTAGCGGTGTAGCAGCGGGTGTGTGTCAGGAGGGGTGGTACTGTTTGGGGGAGGTCGAGTGGAGGCAGCAGTCTTGTCGTCAGCAGCAGCAGCAGTCCGGAGGCTACAATCTCCGGTAGTCGCCAGTCGCCCGTGGGTCCGTTGCTCGTCTGCCGCTACTTTTAGCCGCGGGGCCAGTTACCCCAGTAGTCCGGAGCGTTGTTCCGGTAGCCACTGAGCCAGCAGCTCGTCTGTGTGTCTGCAGCGTCAGCAGTCGCCTCCCATCTTCTCTCCCCCACAGTCTCTCCTCCTCCTCACTTGCCCTCTGCGATAGCCTCTAGCTTTGCTCATAATTGTGAACTTTAAACTATTGCTTCTTGAACTTGTGCTCAGAATGTGTGGTGACATTGTGATCCACCCTGAGCTTGTACTGCTTTGCTTGCTCTGCTGATTACACCCCACTTTGGCTATGGGGGTGTGTCAGAATATTATGCTCTAGCCTGTAGTGGGGTGCTCTATAGCGAGTACAACCCTTCCAGGGTTTGCTATTTGTATCCTCATTCTTGCTAGTGCAACCCTCTTCTTCTTTTTAAACTTTTACACGCCACTGGCGCCACTTGCGCCGCTGGCGATTTTGACTCCACGTGCGCCACTGGCGATTTCACCACGCGCGCCTGAGGCGATTTCGTCGCCACGCGCGCCTGTGGCGGTTTCGTCGCCACGCGCGCCTGTGGCGGTTTCGTCGCCACGCGCGCCTGTGGCGATTTCGTCGCCACGTGCGCCAGTGGCGCTGTCGCCTTAGCCTCGACGTGCGCGCCTATCGTGCAGACGGGTGTACCCGCAAGACATTTCTGAAACGTGTGTTGTGCTATGTCAATCTAGTTAATGCCTACTATTTTAAGAGAGAAGTGAGCGACTGAGGAGAACGGGAAGTCGTCGGACGAGAATGAAATAAGACATTTGAAATTTCAAACGAAGACGTGGGTGGAGGCCAAATGGCCTCCACCCCCTGCTATATAGTTGGCGAAGAGCGTCTAGCACTTCGCCGTTGCCATTGCTGCATTACAAGCAGCTTCGCTTTCAAAATACATATTTTTAGAAAGTGTTACACACTTTAAAAAAAAATCATATTTATGTTCATGATGTATACTTTCAATATACACAAAAAAAATGGGATTAGCAGCGAGAATCGCAATCTGATCTAACCACCAATCATGATTTCGCAACCAATGAGGCTTCCAGCTGACATCCGTTCTGTCTAGTTCACGCAGCCCTTTCTTCGGACCCATGCCGCTTTTCTGAGCAGGTCGAGCAAATTCACTTTCATTCCAAGTCAATTTGGTTAGTGTGCCCGTAAGGGGTTACCGAGTTCATCCTGAGACAATGGTACTGTACGGGAATGTGCCTTTTATTTCGCAAGAATCGTGAACCAGTGTCACACACGCACCAACGCCACGGCCAAGTGAAGTCCGACACTGACCCACCTTCGCACCACCAGCGTTTCAGACCATCCGGGCAGGCGCATCGCGGCGCGACAAGGCCCCAGCCAGATGTGCGGCTCCGCATGTGCATTGGTGAGTTCAAAACCAGCACTCGCTGACTCAAAACACCATCAACAACAACTCGACCATTCCAGTACAAGCATTCAAAACTACTCGACATCCACTGCTTCTACTACCCCTCTTTCCTTAGGGTGCATTCCTGGCTCGTGTCAAACTTCCGGCCTTCCCGGGATGACACGAAGCTTGCCCCACAGCTGGCCCCACTTCGGGTCTTCCCGCAAAAATTTGCCCCTGGCTCGGAAAACACGAAGTTTGACCGGAAGTTTGACACGGGCCAGGAACGCACCCTTAGATTCGTAGGCCAAGCGCAGCAATCAACCGTTCGGCACTGCCACAAGCAATACCTGCACGCGTAATATTAATTTCACCATGAGGCACGGTCCAACGATCGTGATGCTGCTATTCCTGTGCGCAGTTCTCCTGGTCGCGCAGCCATCCAGTGCAAGCCGCGGGTCAACTTGGCGCATGAACCGCTCATGGCGCGACGGCGATGAGTACTCACCCCTCGCGGCTCCCTCCCAAGGAAACTCCGGCGAATTCTCGGAACCAGCGGCGGACAGTTCCGCCGTTTACATCGTTCGCCTGAGCACCGCGCCTCCCCTCTCCGAATACCGCGGCGGAATCGCGGGCTACCCCGCCACTGCCACGTGGGACGACAGCAGCGACGACGAGGGCGACGGCGAGGCCTTGCCGCAGATGATTCTCCCTGCCGGCGATTCCGCCGCTGCTGCAGGCGGCGAGTCCGTCGATCTGGACGACACCGACGGCGACCAGCTCTTCCCCAACGCAACTGCGCCCGCCGCATCTCACGCCGCCGCCACTCCCAGCGCTCGCGGCGGTCGTGGCGGTAACGGCAACGGTAGCGGCGGTCGTAACGGGGGCGGAAAGGGCAACGGCGGCGGAGGGTGCCCGAGGCACCGGCTGAGTCTGAGCATGGACCGGCCCCAGGTGGCTGCGTTCGCGGGGCTGCTGCAGCGGCAGCAGGCGCAGGTGGCATCTGAGGCGGGCGTACCCGAGGACGGGCTGCTCTACAGCTACAAGCACACGTCCAACGGCTTCGCCGCGCGCCTCACGTCGCGCCAGGCGTGGTGGCTGAAGCGCCACCCCGCCGTGGCGTCTGTGCGCGCCAGCCGCGTGTTCCGCCGGCAGACCAGCGACTCGCCGCAGTTCCTAGGGCTCCCCGGGAAGGTGTGGCCGGCAGTGGGCGGGCAGAGCAAGGCGGGCGAGGGCACGGTGGTGGGGATCGTGGACACGGGTATCTGGCCCGAACACCCGTCCTTCAGCGATAAGGGCCTCTCCTCGCAGCTGCCCGCGGGGTGGAAGGGCAAGTGCGAGCAGTCGAGCTCGTTCCGGTGCAACAACAAGGTGATCGGCGCCAAGGCCTTCTATGCCGGCTTCCAGCAGAGCAGCGGCAAGCCCGTGTTGACCAAAGACTGGCTCTCGCCGCGAGATGCGGACGGGCATGGCACGTGGTGCGCGGGGGCAGCCGCGGGGAACCCCGTGAAGGTGCAGGGCGGCGGGCAGGTGAGCGGCATGGCGCCGGCAGCGCGCATTGCGGCGTACAAGGTCTTCTGGACGGACAGCAACGGGGACATGTACGCCACAGAATCGGATATCATCGCAGCCGTCAATCAGGGAGTCGCGGACGGTGTGGATGTGCTGTCTCTATCTCTGGGGGGCGTGAATCCCAACGACAACTATTTCAACGATCTCGCTTTCATGCGCGCCAATGCTGCCGGGGTGTTTGTCGCTTTTGCTGCCGGCAACGCCGGGCCTCCCGGTCGTGGCAGGTTCTACCGCACGCTTGACAACTTCGCCCCTTTCTATCTCACCGTTGGCGCCAGCACCATTGCCCGAGGCGGCGCGTCCCTTGCCTCCTCAACTGCCGGCGCACAGTCGCTCTCTCTTGGTGCCACCAGCAGCGGCAATGGCACCGACGGCAGCACAGGCGGCAACTTCAATGGCAACAGCACAGACGGCACAGACGGCAGCAGCACCGTTCTGACTGCTGACGGCGGGATCACCTTCGCCACTGCATCCTCCTCTGCCCCCATGGTGGCTGACTTCTCTTCCCGCGGCCCCCTGCTGCAGCCCTCCGCCACGGCCCAGCCCCCCATGCCAGGCAACGCCATCCTGAAGCCCGACATCATCGGCCCGGGAGTGGACCTCATAGCCGCTGCTCCCGGGAGGAGGCCCGGGGAGCAAGGAGCTCTCGCCCGCATGTCGGGTACTTCCATGGCCACCCCGCATTTAGCCGGGCTAGCCGCTTTAATCATCCAGAAGTACCCCAACTGGACCCCGGCGCAAGTGATGTCAGCGATGATGACGACGGCGCGGGTGACGGACACGAGCAAGAGCGCGATCAAGAGTGCGACGGGCGGGGAGGCCACCCCGTGGGAGATGGGCGCAGGCCACGTGTTCCCCCCAGCCATGCTTGACCCTGGCCTCACATACGACGCCCGCGACCGCGACTACCAGAATTTCCTCGCCGGGCAGGACCTGAACCGCGCGAAAAAGGAGTTCCCAGGGGTGGCGCTCTCCCCTCTGGCCGTGCGCAACCTCAACCTGCCCACCATCACTCTGCCTCGCCTGCAGGGCTCCCTGCAGGTCACACGCACCGTCACCAACGTGGGGCAGTCCCAGTCCACATACAGTGTATCTGGGAAGGCCCCGCAGGGGGTGAAGGTGGGTGTGTCGACTAAGAGCCTCACGCTTGCTCCCGGGCAGAAGGGGACCTACACGCTGACGTTCACTGTGGATACACCCAGTAATGACTTCAAGTACGGGTATATCGTCTGGGCCGACGACCAGGGTCACAGGGTGCGGTCCCCCCTTGTGGTGCAGCCAATCTCCCGCTGAGGGGGTTACTTGTGTGAGGCTCTTTCATGCAACGGAGAAGGGGTTGAGCGCCCCTTCTCATTTCAAGGGATATCGTTATGGCGCATGGCGTGGCAGAGCAACTGTTTGTGGCACATGGGATGGAAGGGCTTCGTGCGTGTGTGTGGCTTTTGTATGTTTGAGCTGGTTTGATACAGGCCTCACGTTTTCAGAGTAAATTACTCTGTTTCTCTGAAAATCAGAGTCATTTTTGAAAGTAACTCTGTACCCGCTGGGTAATTTTTTTGGGACTTCCGATTTCTCTGATTTGTCAGAGTTATGCTGTAGTTTACTCTGAGGCCTCTGGGTTTTTTTTTCGGGGACCGAATTTACTCTGTATAGGGAATACCTGCCGCCCCCCCCTCCCCCGCCCCCCTCCCCTCCCCACCTCCCCCTGCGTTTAGCGGGTTTTCCCGAATCGTCGAGATCATTCTCCTGATTTCTGTCGTGTGTTGGCGGCAATATGAGCACTGATTGGCTACCGTAGTTTGACAACTTTCCCAGCCAGCGCACGATGCCAGCCAGTCCCCTCTCTCTTTATGTCTGAAGTGAACGTCGACGTTTCCCGACGAAACTTTGAGGGACGTCGAGGAATCCTGACGGTCGGAACGCTCAATCCGAGGGTTGAGATTCGCCAGCATTCCCCGACGAAACTGTACATCCGTCGACATTTCACTTCAGACACGCTCTTTGGGGGTGTCCGAAGTGAAACGTCGACATCCGTGGACATCCGTTTGGGGATGTCGGTAAATCCTGACGGTTGGAACTGTCGATCCGAGGGATGACATTTACCGACATCCAGCGACATCTATTGACGTTTCACTTCGGACACGCCCTTAGTCAGATTATCGGTGCCGCCAACACCTCACTCTGAAACATCGCAGTGAGGGGGGAAACGTGGGCGACGCGGAAATGCAAGTACAAAAGGCGTAACAAAAACCTATTAAGGTCATGGTACACCAAACTTAACTAACATCAGAGTAGAGAAAAATATTACTCTGACGTGCCTGGGTTTTTTTTTGAAAGTATAGGGTTACTCTGACAAATCAGAGTAAGGCGCAGGAACAACCCTAGATTTCAGAGTTGGGAAAAAAAACTACTCTGGAAATCAGAGTACCTAAAATCCAAAAATAGGCCCTGGTTTGATAGCGTTTGGCTGATTCCCTGTTGTCTGCATGTTATTTATTTATAGTACACACTTCCAATTCAGCCATGCAGAAACAGACTACCATACAAGCACAGAGTTGCACGCATGCACAATGCATCACTGCTCCATGAGAGAGAGTCAAGCAGAAACACCAGTGCAACTGCAGGTCAACACCAGTCGAACTGGAAGCTCCCATGCCTGATGGATGCCCCTAAGAGCAATGGGCTCAGATGCTACAGCAAGTCACACGAGTGAACCACCTCACGGCACTATCTCAACACAATGCTCACTCCAGACGATGCCTTTTCCTCACAACATCAACCCCTCACATGTCCCCAGCAGAGCGCCCCCCCTTCACATTGCGCGCGCTCACACCCCACTGCGATGCAACGGTGAGCCACCAATCGTCAATGCTCACAGCACCTACTCCTCACATCACACCCCCCATGCATTAGCCGGCTGCAGCCGGTACTCCCTGCTTCAGATGCCCGTACCCTGCCAGGCCCTCCGCTCCGCCCCCATGGGGGCATCGGAGGAAGTATATGCAGGGAAAGGGGGAGAAGAGGAGAAGGCAAGTTGAAGCACGTGGTGCTTCACACAGTAGACAGGGTTCACTGCTGAGCCCTGAGGTTTGTTCACTGCTTTACACATGGAAGTTCGCTGCTGAGCCCTCCTCTCCATACGGCAAAGAGGACTCGTTGGGGGGGGGGGGGGGGGGGGAGGGGGGGACAAAGGAGGGGGGGAAGGGTGGGGGGGAGGGGGAGGAAGGAGGGTGCAAGCACGTGATGTTCCAGCTGGCCGTTTACTCCCAGAGCTGGGGCACAGCGCGCGAGCCTTGCAGCATGTCAAAATCCACTTTTTGAGGCGCCTCAAAAGCTGCCCGAGCAGCGGCACAGCGTGCGGTCCTCCCTCGTCATGCTACGGAACTGTGGGGGCAGGTGTGCCTCATGGCGCTCTCATTATATCGAAGATGACGGGAGGAGTTGAGCTGGCTCATTGCTGCTTTCATTCTGAGAATAGGACAGCTGCAATTGCTGCGAGCCAGGGAATGGGGTTTGTGAGGGTGCTTCAGGCATGAGGTGAGTGGGTGTTGCCCTGACTGCTGCTCCTTGTGGCGTGGCAGGGTATACTGCATGGCATCTGATATGGGAAGGCATGCTGGGGGCAGAATTGATGATTTTGTGTGTGAGAGCTGGTTAGGGTGTCAGATAAGGCGAACCTATCTGTCCTACCTAATTTCGCAACCCCCTACATACTTTATCAGCCCTATCCACCCTACACAATTTACCAACCCTATCCGCCCTACCCACTTTCCCAACCCTGTCAGCCCTATCCACTTTCCCAGCCCTATCTGCTCTACCCACTTTATCCATAAGCTAAAGAGGGAAGAGGGAAGAGTGAAGAGTGAAGAGGGAAGAGGGAAGAGTGAAGAGGGAAGAGGGAAGAGGGAAGAGGGAAGAGGGAAGAGGGAAGAGGGAAGGGGAAGAGGGAAGGGGAAGAGGGAAGAGGGAAGAGGGAAGAGGGAAGGGGGAAGGGGGAAGAGGGAAGAGGGAAGAGGAAAGAGGGAAGAGGGAAGAGGGAAGGGGGAAGGGGAAGAGGGAAGAGGGAAGGGGGAAAGGGGGAAGGGGAAGAGGGAAGAGGGAAGAGGGAAGAGGGAAGAGGGAAGAGGGAAGAGGGAAGAGGGAAGAGGGAAGGGGGAAGGGGAAGAGGGAAGAGGGAAGAGGGAAGAGGGAAGAGGGAAGAGGGAAGAGGGAAGAGGGAAGAGGGAAGAGGGAAGAGGGAAGAGGGAAGAGGGAAGAGGGAAGAGGGAAGAGGGAAGAGGAAAGGGGAAGAGGGAAGAGGGAAGAGGGAAGAGGGAAGAGGGAAGAGGGAAGAGGGAAGAGGGAAGAGGGAAGAGGGAAGAGGGAAGAGGGAAGAGGGAAGAGGGAAGAGGGAAGGGGAAGAAGCCCTGCATGTGCGTGAACAGGCGAACTAGAAGAGTCCCGTGCCTAAGCTTCTAAGGCTGACCATGGCTGCTGCGGCCCTACCTTGAGAGAAAACAAACCTGCTGCGACGGTACCTTGACATCTCAGAACATGTTGCCGATTCTACAATGCACCGACAGCATACCTACATGCTGCACCCATTGCGCGCGCAAAGCTGGGGGGAACAATGTAGGTATGGGAAGAACCCCTGCAGCTCGGTGCACAGCGCGCAAGTAGAGGCACCAGCCTGAGTCTCTTCAAGTGGCTTAAGTTGCAACGTCGTGAGCCACTTCAGCCATGCGAACAAGCAGAGAACTAGATTCACGTGCGTGAGCATGGATGCTCCCACAGTACCTGGAGGGAAAAGCCCTGCATGTGGGTGTAAAGGAGGTGCAGTATCTCCGCCCCCCGCTCGTTCTGCTCCTCCCACGCCGCCCGTCGCTGCGCCTCGCTCAGCCTGCCCACCCACGTGCGCGCCATCCCCATGCGAGAGCCATCAGCTGTGCCAGGCGGTCACGCGATCGTTTCGAGATTGTCGCTCGCTGTGTGTGCGGCCTACATTTCGATCGCATTGAGAACTGCCGTGGATGCATGACTTGGACGACTCGTCATAAGCATCTTGCTAGTGCCATCGCAAGTCGACGATACAGTAACGAAGCTAGTTGAGTAAGTGGTTTGTCATTGATGTCAAGTCTCGAACTGAATTGTCAGCGTATGTGCCTGAATGGGGAGACAATGTGCAGTACCAGTTACATTAGGGTGTGTCTCTTTTTATATTTTTCATGTTTTTTCGGACTGTCCACTTGTATCGAATCGGATGGTCCCAAGCAGGTACTTGACAGTCCGTTTTGAAATTTAGAAACGTCAGACCGTCCGAATGCAAAGACGTCACTCTTCTCAACTTCGCAAACTGCCGAAGTAATGTAGACTCGCGAGAGGTATTACAGTGTCGTAACCTGTTTTTACGGGCTAGAAAATTGTACGTGCGACTTGATATTTTTTCGTACGCCAATCCCGTGTCAGCACTGTTCTTCCGTCCGTTTGCTAAGGTTATATATTGATCGTAATCAATGTACAAAGAATAGTATCATAGAGCTATCTAGAAACATGGCCGAGATGACCAGCATCCTATAAGGAGCACGTGGAACACACGTTATTTCTTTGTCCTAAAGGACAACCGCCAGCAGACTGGGGAGACGCTCTATGCAGGTAGCCGTCTACGGGGGTCGGAACGGGTTTCCCAGAAGCCATGAGACTCTGAGGTCGGGGTGAATAGAGGGTGTACCACTCCTATCGAAGAGGAGGAAGCGAAGTTTGTGTGCGCGCTTGATGCTGGAGGATGTGCGTTGTCGCTTCTTGGTAGATTGGCATCTGCTTCTCCAAATGTAAAATTTGAAGGCGATGAGGAATTGGGCTAGTACCAGCTGCAGTACCTCGAAGCTCGAGGAGAAGGAGTTGCGGTACTTGTGGTCGCAGCGAGCATTCCATAGCGTCTTAACTGCAGCTCCCACTAGTAGGCTCCATGGGGGGGACTGTCCCACCCGTGACTGTATTGGGAAGAAGATGTGTTCGGCGGTGGTGGTTTGTCCAAGGTGGCGATCAGCGACTGTGCGAAGAGCCGAGATGACATTTCCGGCGGAGGAGCATTCAAAGAATATATGCGGCAGTGTCTCGACGTCCGTTTGCATTTCGAACTGCCGAATGCTCACAATGTGAACCGTTGCTTGGAGGGAAAGTGACGCGACAGTTCGAACCATTTGCGATGCCGCATGTATTTCCGCGAAACGGGTCACGAATTTCAGCGAAAACGGTAACCGCTTCGCAGCCGGATGGTCCACGGTTCGAACCGTCGATGGCAAAAAGGAGACACA